AGCAAAGAACATACCAGAACTATGTAAAAGTCCTTTAAAAGCATTTCAAATACAGCTGTACTGTACTTCAAATACATTTACCGGGTTGCTGAGACAAGAGCTTCCTTGGAAACTAACTCTTATGGTGTATCCTCCTAAGAAGCTGTCAGCAACAGCAATGTATACAGACTCAAACGCGTAGCTAGATTCCCCTACACTGCACTGCAGGTTTATTTCAGAGGTTTCTCACATTAAAGATCCCAACAAGTCCCCACTGGGGGCCCATGAGCGTGACAGATGTGCTTCCCAATCCTCCGTAGGCAGCTGCACAAGGAAAGCGTCCCAGTGCAGCCAGGCGAACGCCAGCAGCATTCCTCCGGAGGGGAATGAAGGAGCTCGACCACGCTGTGGGGATGCCATCCTCCCCACCCAAACGTTGCCTTGGGCTAGGGAAAATGCAGTGTTGGCCCTAACATGTTAAGGGCTGGCATGCAGGGCCTGCAAACTGCTACAGAGAATGTTATTTTGAAGAGAGGAGAAAGAGTGGGGAGGAGGAGAGATTACTTATTGCAGACATTTGTATGGCTTCTTTGTTTTCTATCAATGACAAATCGGTGTCTGTGATATGGGAGGTGTGTGTATGTCTGTGTGTTTGTGTATTACTACACCAATACTTCATAGAAAAAAAAATAATAATATCTTGCCCATCCTGCTGCTCCTACAGCCCCTCAGGTCAATTCACAACAGCATTAAGCGGCCTGAACCATTTCTAGAAGTGCTTACTCAAACTCCATTTTCTTTTACTCTTCAGATAATAGATACATGAATTCTAGTTCCACACAACCTCCTTCCGCTTTTTGAACTCACATAGTCATTTTTAATTAGGTAACTACAATATTTCTGTAATAATTCTCAAAACAGTTACAAATTCTTGTTTTCTAGAGCTCATGTTCCCCTCTTAGGAGCTATCAAACTGTGAAGAGCAAAAAGGGACTGTACACACTTTAAAAAGAACTCTTCTCTAGACTAACTATTCATAGATTATTATATTCACTCATATATCCCATGCCTGCTGAATCCAATAGTTTGCAAGTAGTTGAAGAATTTGAAGTTGTGAAACAAATCTACAAAAAGTTTCTTCTGATGCACGTGCTCCATCCCTGAGTTAACATTAATATATTCAGCTTGTTCTGCAGCCTATCCCATTTTTAAAGTTCCGTTCAAAAGGTGGACATCAGAACTAGGTCTGGTATCAGTACTAGCCTCATCAATGCCACATTCAGAAATAAAACCACCTCCTCCTATTTACCATTTCTTATATGTATAATGACTATATTAGCCCTTTGCCACACCATCACATCAGAGGACCAATGTGAATTAGTTATTCTCCGATTCCTATAAACCTTTTTGCTACTGTTCCTGACACAGCCCATTCTGTCCTGCATTTCCCACTTCAGCCTTGGCTACTTTAACAGCCACTTTGCTCACCTGCCCAGCTGGCCAACTCACAGGAGGTGCTCTGCGTGCCGGCCTTTCTGTGCTTATACCTCCCCAGGACCTTTGTGTCACTTGCATAGCAGGAATGATGTTACAGCTCCTTCCAGATCACTGACAGGGAAGTGCAGGAGAGCCCCGAGATGTCTCAAATCCTACAGAGTGCTTTGAAAAATCTCTTCTTCCTGCCTACTGATGATTCCCAAGGACAGGCACACTTTGACACTGTCAGTGGCCATAGAAATCGTCCCATCACATTCTTGGAACACTTGGGCATAAATCACCTGAGGCCAAGAGTTATTAACTAACACTCTGGTTGTTTAGAAGTACCACCCTCCTTTCTCCCTATTTGAATATAAAGCATTTTCTCCCCTTTTATATGAAATTAAAATATTTTTTGGATGTTTCTATTTTGTCAATATGGTTAGTAATGATTTTTCATCCTTTCTAAGATTTATTTTATTCTCACTTTGCTGAAATACAATCTTACTATCCATATCTTTGACGGTCCTGTTATCAAACAACTGTCATCCTTAGCCTCCTTTATCGTATTCCCCTGCTTCATAACCTCTCATTTACTATTTTCAACTGTTTTACACTGGTTATTTTATTGCACCTCTTTCTTCCTTTAATTGCCCACTGAATAAATTCATATCTCATTCAAAATTAATTTTTTTTTCCATTGTAAAATATTAATTCTGTAAGTTACTAATAAATGCTCAAGATATTTTTTATCTGGTTGAAAACTCCTAAGCAGCAATTATCTACTTCAATCTCTATTAGACCAAAATCTTCACCAAAGTATTAAAATCACGTGCTAGACTAAGTAATGCTATCTAGAGATTGCATTTAAACCAATGAAAGTAGATGCCTGCAACATTAAACATCCAGAAGAATGTCTGTTATTCATCAGGAGAGGCATATTTTATTCCCCTCTTCCAAACAATACTTCTGCACTTTCAAATAAGATACTCAAGACTTTTTTCTCTCGGGTCAGTACTTGATTTTTGGAGCTTTTATTTTTAAGTTTGTCCTACAAGGCCTATGTTTGCTCCTTCTCGAAACAACATTCTGGCCAGAGACCCTGCAATATAGACTAAATATTATACAGTTGAGATCATAATAGCTAGTGAACTAGAAGATGACTAGGACTAACGCACAAAATATATTTTTGTGTTAGTTTCCTCACAATAAATTATACATTTGATTACATCTTTTTTCACCACCACCACCACGCTGGAGACGAGATGTAGACACCAGCATGTTCAAAACGCTGAGAAGTCCCTTACCTTTTCAAAGAGGGTGGAAGCTTTTAGCAGAACCCAACCTTCTAAATTCAGTGTGCACTTCATATGTACATTTCTATTCTTCTAAATAAATATTTTTGAAAGTCTTATGGGGAAAACCTAAAGTCCGCATGCATCAGGTAACCATACTTTGATATGGCTGGCTTGCTATCTTCAGTAGCAGCTGCAGAACTAATGCTAAAAGTACCGTAAAACAGGGCTTTTTCATATCAAAATAGCATTTTTTTTTATTAAGCTGTCCTAGATCTATTTTTCTTGTATATTCACTAACAGCTACTAGTATAACACTCCAATGTGACCTAAATAGAGAATTCCAACATGCTGTTAAGAGTTGCATAAGTTCTTAAGTATTGGATAAGTAGGGGAATAAAGCAAGGGAGAAAATAAACAAATATGCAAAAAAAAAGAAACCACCAGCAAGGAATACAGAGGACCAATAAAACTACTGCCAGGAGTAACTCAGTGATGGGTTAGGCTTCAGAATAGGTGGTGTTGATTAAAATTATCAAAAGCTCCTCCAGAGCCTGTTAAGTACCTGCCTGCTGAGCCGCTGGTGGTTGCTCAAGTCCCACTGAGGTGAGAAGGGAAGATGCAGCTTAGCACTTGCAGGTCACTGCTCACAGCAGCACATGCAGTGAGACCAGAGCTTAAAACAATCTGAATAATTAATAATTATAATTACGTAGAAATTCAAATGTGCCTGAATTGCTGAACTGGTCTACTCTCTGTAACACCCATGTACTTCAGTTCCAGACACGGGGCTCTCTGCAGTTTAGATGGTGAAAAGTAAGTTGTTTCTGTCATTTCTGTCCATCAGGAAAAAGCCTCATTACACAAGTAGGCTCATAATACGTTGTTACACCAATTGTATTATCATTGGTTTCCCCATAAATCAAATGCAACTGTGACCCTTTAAGTATCAGCCTTCATCTATTTACTTGCTGGAGGGAAAACAAGGCACATCAGAATAGAAATCAGTTCATTTTGAGGTTAGGTATAGAGTAAAACAGGGAGATGTGGTTCTTTTTGCTGACTGTGGTTCTTCCACAGAAGTAAATTAGAACAGACCTTACAGAATATTCTACTTAAAGTGTGGCGCAGAAGAATCCCAGAGGTCATTAGAACTTAATGCATTTGTATGCTTTGAGTTTCCACTGAAGCTTTCCATACCTACCTAGAAAATAAATCTTTTTATTCTGTACACATAAATCATAGTTCTTGGTAGAAGAAGGATAACTCAAAACTTGCAAATAATTGTCAATAATTCATAAATCTAGTGGGTAGGCATATGTTCTGTGAAATTATACATGTAAAATTGCAAAATATAAGTTTATTTTTTATTTCTTAGACAAGACACGAAAGAATAATGCAATGAAGAAGGTCTAAATAGCAAAAGATATATTGCCATTTGGACAACTAAGTATAAGACCTATAGATGCAAGCAGGCTCTCAAAAAATCTGCTGTAAAAAGTGTTACTGAAAGAAAATCTGTCCTCAACATAAAGAGCACATGGATACACAAAGTGTCAACTGGATATATGATCCAAATCATTTAAAAATGCTACAAGTTATCCAAAATAACTTTCTCTCCTGTTTCTGCATACAGGGAGGTCTGGTACCCCTGTTCTGGATACAGGGAGCCTACCAAGGCTTTTTCCAGGCATGAAGATTTATTAACCTCTCCATAGTAAACGGTCCAAAACATCCATTTTGGAGCTGAAAATGCACAGCTGAGAGAAGCAGCAAACACCTCTAGTAGTTTTCCAAAATGGAGAGAAAGAAACGGCAGTTGTTTGAGAGTGACACAGGCGCTGGAGAAGCAAGAAATAGTCACAGGCAGCCCGCCAGCGGCCTTGTTCTGTAATTTGCTCTCCAGATCATTACAACTTACGCAGTAGAAGTGCTAACATAAGCACATACACGTTCCAACGGAAGGCAACATCAGCTCGGCTTTATTACAGACTAGGTTAACCACACAAATACTGGAGTTTCTTCTGTACTATTGTACTTGGCACCCAGACATCAAAGTAAAGCTGGGTTAGAAGGAAGCTCGACATGCTCAAAGCCCTTTCTTTACATAAAACCTTGCTTTATTGAACAGCAGTGAATCAAAGGCAGATGGCTGGTCTAATTTTAGTTAGGGACAGATACACCCTACCAGTGGCCACGGTAATCAAGGGGAGCCAAGGTTATGAGCCCCAAGCAGCAGATTTATTGTACCTTATATTCAGATTCCAGCGTCACGTTGTTCCCTTTTAATTTTTCTTTCAAGGTGGGATCAACCTGCAAGATAAAAATATAGTCAAAAAGTTTGCATTCAAGAAAAATTTAAGAAAAAAAAATCTTAATAATCTAAATGTGGTGCATGCTAACCCTCCTCTCCTCTAAGCAGGGCAGAAACTGAGAGTGGAGTTTACGTGCCACTTGTTCAGGCGCTGGGATGATGAACACAATATAACAATTGGGATGGAAAAGACAGATTGAGAGCCATTCTTTTCAAACCCAAAAGGAAGCACATTTTTAACGAGAGGAAACCCTGCAATTCCGTTATGCCAGCTGCTTAAATCTAGAACTGTTTAGTTTGAAACTGTCACATAAAACCTCAATCAAATAAAACAAAGAGATTCAATAAAGAAAAAAATGTGATCAAATCGAACATTTTATTTCTGTATGGTGCCTTCAGTGAATAAACACGCAGTATGTTCCAGTTTCCAAACTCTAAACATGAGTCCAAATTCACTTTTTGATGAGCTTTCCTACTTGTAATTCTGGACTAGGAAGTGTTGGTGATTCCTGCTGCCTTGGATAACTCTCGCCAAGTGTGAAATGGGGAAGCCCGGGGGAACCAGGCACACTTTGGAGCTGCCTCTTACAGCGTCGAGAGTCAGGGACCTCCACACAGTCAGAACTAAATGCAAACACTGCCAATGAGATTGGCCTGCTCACAATACCCGTATAGACAGGAGGAAATAAATGATACAGATTTTAAATGCTCCAGAGAGTACAGGAATGGGAGAGAGGGTTTTATTTACTCCAGATGCTTTCCTTTCACCGAGCAGCAAGGCAACCAAGATAACGTGGATGTAGCAGCATTCTTTCCTAATTAATCACCGCCAGAATTTAACCTGCATGGACACCACAATATCCCATTATCAAGTTTTATCCTAGCAATTCTGAGAGCCCATTCAACGCGTGGTGCTTGCATGGCTGCACTTGTAGAAGCTAACGGGAAGCGAGCAGGGAAGTTGCTGCCTTCTCCTCCCTCCAGGCCCTTTCCTTCCCATCCGCTTCCTTGCGGATTAACCCTCCTCCGGCTGCAAGAAACGGCGGGACGAGCTAAGCCTGAGACACAGGATCCCAACACTCGTAACTATTTCAGGCTTTAATTCTGACAAAAATGAACCTCAGCCATCAAGGAGGCTAATTGAAATTTCTCAGAAAGAGGTGACCCTGTTAACTCCCAGTGAGAAATGAGCAGGAACTACTCTTTCTTTGGTTATGAATTACATCCAGCAAATAACTTACAGAAAGAGAGAGGTTAAACCCTTTTTTTAGGGCAAACTACATGTGCACCCTTTCAAACTCTAATCACAGTACACAAAAGACCTAAGCCCACCTTGCAGAACATGCTGTTGGGTTTCAATCTCCACAAAATTCCAGAGAGGACACGTGTATTCCCTTTCATCTCCACCACTGTCGTTCCCTCTATCCTTATCATACAGAAGAACTGAAACATTCTTTATCCTGCACAACAATGGAGTCATCTCCGCGTTCTAACCCCTGGCTGCAAAACACAACTTTTCCATTGTCAGAACTAAACAGCCAAGTCACAATTTATTTTCAGAATGTACATAACAGTTGAGAGAAGGAAGAAAACAAAAAAAAAACATGCTGTAAAGGCCTGTCTTCAAAGTGTGTGATCTTTGCAACAACACAACAAAAACGAATAGCTGGTTGGTCATATTTTCATTCTAAAAATGGCAAGTAAATGTGAATATGAGCCATGATTGCAGACCATAGTGGAAAACACTTAAAACAAGGGCAAAGCCAGAGGAGCGACCTCTCTTAAGTGCTACCCCCTTCACCTTACGCTTCTGCCACGTGATCCCAAGCAACACATTTGGTGCCCATTCTGACTGCCAGGCCAACACACGCACAGCTGAAGGAGCAAAAATATCCAGCTCCATCCACGCAATCCATTCACCAGCTACATTGCAATACACATTTTACTGTTCGGGATGAGGGCAGGAGCAGACAAAGCCCGGATGGAGAACCAACCTGGCAGTGCCCTCTGCACCTTTATTCCAGCAGCAGGAAGGACCAGATATCCCTATTCCACTAGGGAACTACTTCTTGTTAAGCACAGTTCTTGTTAAGCTCCCTTTAGTACTATTTATATTTAAGCTCCATCTCTAAATACAGAATTCAGGGATGTCTGTCTTTTTACCAAGCTCCACATTAAACCTTACTGAAAAACTATGGGAATACTGCATGTCAGCATGTGGATGCCTCCTCTCTGCAAGGCTTGGACGTGAATACTGTAATAAATACCATTTCTCAAAGTGTTTTCCCGTTTTAGTTTTTTCTTTCTGTGTGGCACTTTGCAGAAAGTGCAACACTATTTTCTTATGGCTCTCAAAGGTTTCCAGAGAAAAGAAATCTTTCCAGAGAAAGATTTAGATGGCTAAATCTGACTTAAACACCAAGATATCCTTTAAAATCTGGTAGGCAGCTGCCTGTGGCTGTAAGTTTCTAAAATCCTTTTAAAACGTGGCTGTCGCTTCTCCCCTAAGGGCTGACATCTCAGGTTTCCAGTGAGAGTCTCCCAATAAATTCACCTCTACGAGGCAGGATGGCTCCAGCACGAAGCCGGAGCGCCCGGTGCTCCGATGCAGGGGCTCCCGCAGCGCGGGCTGTGACGAACTGCTGCCCTTCCTACCCCCATTTGAGCAACGGGAATTTTTTTTTGCCATTTGGGACATGCACATTTCTGACACCAAAATTCGCTGCTATAAACCAAAATTTGCTACTACCAAAAAAAAAAAAAGAAAAAAAAGAAAAAAAAAAAAGAGATTTCTCTAGCTAACAATTTTGTGCTGGTCCTCAGGGACCACAGTACATTCTGGTTTAGAAGCAAATAATACAGACAGAGGGTGACTGTGAAATTTGTGAATGCCACTCATTTTACCTGCAGGATATAAAATGGATAGTTTTCCCATGAAAGAGCCCAAAGAAAAGCACCACCATCACCGGTAGGCTCTAAACATAGGAATACAAAGCAGATGAGCTGTGTCACTCCCATTCACCATGGATGGGCAGGTTGATTCATGTCCTAATTTTCAGGGTAACATCCCAGTCATCACTAATAAATATATGCCTGGCCTTGCAATTTAAGCAGCCCCCTGTTACAAGCTGTCATTCTCTCTTAGCTCTAACTGTTAATTCTTACTGGTCCACATGTGCTTACTATTTGTGGCCACAGTTTAGGCACAAACCTAACCCTGAATTACATCTACCAAAATTAAGGGTTCACTCATACTAAAAATGAAACTGGCAGGAGACACCCATGCCACGAGGGAAGGGCTGTGCTTGTAACAGTCCCTGCTCACACAAGTTAGTGCAATAAATGGCAGTTTTGTGGCCAAAGGCTGGCTAGTCCTGACCAAGTATTTGTAAGACCACACATTTGCAAGTCTCCTCCTAAATTTTCCATCTCATAAAAGCTTCTAGAAGGCAGTAGAAGTTTGTACCCTAAAAGTAAGTTAGTTGCATCTATTAGGATATAGGTTTACCCTTCACAAAATGCTATTCCACTGAGAAAGATTTCAGCTTTTCCTTTGCAATCAGAGAAGGGCAATGCATTCGGTTTCCTGATCTTCAATTAAGATGTTTTCTTCTATCTATAAATTGGTGAGATGCAATTCTCCTGCAGGGTCCACAAAATAACTACTTACATAAAACTCTGTATTTTCCTCACCCCACCCAATTTTTAAATCTAAAATAGCCCAGTTTCACGAGTTCTGGTTCTCTATAGAAATACATTTTCTTTGAGAAATTCACCACGCATCTACTCCATTAAATGGAAAGTCAGCAATGTTGAGTCCATCAGTCAACTTCAATCTTCCTTGAGAAGGCTCCCATAATTTTTTACCAAAAACTGTGTCATAAATATTCCAAGCAGTGGTTTATGAGCAGGTTCGGAAGCTTTAGACAAGAACTGGTAAATCCCTGAAGTAGGAAAGTGCTGGACAAACTGCAGCTAAACTAAGCCCTGCTTTAGTTAAGGAGTGAAGGGAAGAAGGCTGAAGGATAACAAGGAAGAGAAACATGCCATGACATGCACCATCATTCACAACATCCTTTACCTGTATTATTTATATTTACTACATTTAAAACACTGAGGTAGGGTTACTGTGTCAACTTGGATAGTAAACCAAGCTTCTGACCACTAGGGTCGTTTGAGAGCATATCTCAAAATTGGGTTTGTGTCCTTAGGCCCTTCCAGAAACACTGCTGTAGTAGATCAGAAGAATATTTTACCCAGCTGGCAGAAACCAATGCAGATGTTTCCAAAGGAGGTATACAAAACTCTTATTACAGCAGCAATTCCTAAATTAGGGTAGATAACCAGCAGTCTCTCAGGATCTAAATCTACTGCTTGTTTCCAGGCGGATTAAAAGACGAAAAAGAAAGAGGTGGGGTGGAAAAAGGAATTATATCGACCTAACTGCCAAACTCTGGGCAGTATGTTTTCACATGATAATGTAAAGTTATTACAGAGCGTACACTAAAGGCTTATAGGCAATCAAACCATCCTCTGGCTTAGCAAACACTTAAACATATCTAGATTTATTCATATCTAATTAATCAAAACTAACAAGTGCTCCATAGCTTTCAAAAGGAAGAAAAAAAACGTATTCAAGCATGTAATCAGTGCTTGGGTGCACTCACATCCTACTTGATTTGCAGGTGCACATTTATTTATTTGATTTCCAAAAGATAAATAAGCGCATGAAGCTTTGGCTCCACATGCTGCACCATGAAATTTCACTTCACAGCAGTACTAGCCACAAAGAATTTTCTCCCACTATAAAAGAATATAATAAATAAATAAAGAAAAGAAAAGAAAACACACACACACACGGAGCGCAGCTAATAGCAAGACTGTTGGTGTTTTCTAAAAGTTCCTGTGAGGAAAGCGAACTTTGCAGGCAGCCTGGAGGTGAAGCACTTTGAAGAACAGGCTCACCATCCTCTCTCAGCTTAAAGTCCGGATTTCGTGC